GCTGTGTGATTCTTTCACAGCAGTAATATTTTCTTACTAAGTGCACCCACACATATTATATATTGTTTTTTAGTGGACAGAAAGGGCTATATATGTATATCACATACAGTATGTGCATGTAGCGCCTCACTTAGTATGAATAACATATTTTAAAAAGAGGAAAAAAAACTTAAAGAAAACACTTTCCCCAGTTTTGAATGTGGTTATTATTTTTTTCAAAAATAGCACAGCTAAAAAAAATGCATTAAATAAATTAATTTATGTGTCCTTTATTTGGAAACACCTCCCATCCCTAGGATTTCAGTAATTTTCCTGTACTTCCCGGCCTAAAACTAAAAGCCAACATTTTTTTTTTTTCTGTAAAACCGAATAGTGGTTATGTGGCCTACAATGTCACTGTTATTAAGTGTCACTAACTGTCACACTTAGGGACAATGACATACATTGAACAACGCCGTCATGAGGGGGTCAGATAAAAAATGAACCCCTTAGGGTGAAACACAAATCTTCAGCTCAGCTTTTTGTCAATGATATCAAGCACTCACTAAGACTGCTTGATACTTTAATTAATTATAATTTTTGGTTATAATTAGGCTGCTCCAAACAGCATGTCAGAATCAGATCTCACTAAAAAGGCTTCTGATCGTTCAAAGACGATCAGCAGCCTTGAAAAATTGTTTTAGCATAGAAATATATTGTTACACATTTCTGTGCTGAAGAATGTAACAAACAGCCTGTACACATCGAGAAGTCCCGATCTCTGCTGAGCTGTCAAAACTGAAATAGCAGAGCAGTATGCACACCGTTCTACTATTTTAGCTGTCAAATACCGGATCACTAATAGCAATCCGGTATTTGTAACAGCTTAATTCTTTCATTAATGGATGTCTCAATACTGAGGCACTCAGGTATTCCTGAGTAGCTGCTCACTTACACTCATTTGGGCACTTCATGACGCAGATGTACAGTGTACGTCCCCAGTCGTGAAGGGGTTAAAGGTGTTGTCTGTTTCTTTACATTTTACTTAACCTTTTGGTGAATAAGTAGGGATAACATCACCCTTTACTTATTCACAGCGCGGAAAAGGCATCTGGGTGCCCCCTTTATGAAAGGAGTACCCAGATGCAGATGAGCCCCTCTACCTGCAGACCCCCACAATCACAACAATTTTAGGGGGGACACCACTTTTTTCCCCATTTTTGGGGCGTTGGGATCCCCCTTCAAATTCCTATCAGACCTTTTTACATCAGCAGGTCCCCGCTAACAGGTCCCCGCTAATTTTACAATGACAGTTTCATTCTGTTTGCTACCTCTGAGGTAGTAACCAGAATGACTGAGCCGAACGCTGTACGACAGCATTCGGCTATTCACTCTCTGTGTTCAGCCCCTATGAGAATAAGGGTCAACAGCAGGGATTGAACTGCTGAACGTTCGACCCAATCCAGATGTTGCATCAACTGAGGCGAAAGGATCTTCCATTCGTTTCAGCAAAATGCACTGAGGCTGTTCGGCTAAACCGAGGGGAAGTGAAGTGAGCCAAATGCAGCCGATGTACGGCTAAAAATAGCCGTATAGGGCTGTTGTGAGTAGAGTTTGGCTCAGTTCACTTTGGCTCGGTTATTCATTCTGCTGCGTTCGGCAGCTTAATGAATAACCCCCTTAAATACTAAGCATTAGACAAGCAGTCATTAGTTGACTCCTGGCAACATAATCACTCAATGTGATTAGGAATAAAAGCATACGCTTATATGGAAAATTGTCATTAATTGGAGACTAGGTACATATTGAAGATACAACTGGCATTTGCTAATCTGGACAGAGATAACACAAAGAAAGTGGCAGTTCCAAAGATAGATCATTGCCATGGGTAAGCAGTGATAAGTAACTGGTCACTGCTGCTGTAATCCTGCAAGGATATCTTCTTTTTAATTTTTTAATTGAAAGTAGGAAGTTTCTGTTACATCTTCTACTTTCATAAATAGTATACTGCATCTTTAGGCCATCACTTGTCCCATGAAAAAGGGATGGAAACAAACTAAAAAAATGAAAGCATAAAAATATAGCAAAGCAAATTTGTGTTTTTCTCTGCAGATGTGAAGAAAATTGCAGTCTAAAGAGGAGAAATGGAGAAACCTTGCTTCTTAGCGACACAGAACTATCCTACGCACGTATAAGGTACATCTTCCTATGTGCCAGCGCTGCTAAGCTGCCTACACAAAACTGTGCGATACAGAACCATTGTTCACAAGGAATGTCAAAGTCTGCATTCTGATTTATCACTCACAATGATGGATTGCGGGTTCACACACTCCAGCAGTTCCCCATTGTCATGTGCAAAAAGAAAGCTTTGGTTTTCGGTTGACAGCTGCTAGCAGTGTGTTTTTTTCTTTCATGATCAATGACAGTGCTGCTTTGAATAGAGAATCAAAACATGCAGTGTATTATACAGTATGTATAAAAAACTGCATCATATACCACATTTACATAGCAATTTAAAGACCATCTCCAGGCAAACAAAAAAGTACCCTTGCAATGGGGTACCCCCACACTGCAAAGGTTAAATGTTAATTTTTGTCTAGGGGCTGAAGTAAAGCAGATTTACTTACCTGAGCTGCTCCTGCCAGCTCACTCTCGGCTGTTAGACCAGTCCCTGTAGCATCTTTTCCCCTTGGCTCTGGTGGTAGAAGGACTGCTGAGGTCATTACATATAATGTACGTTCCATAGACCTACAGACAAGGGACATTCCACTAGCCAAAGTGGAGGGGTAGAAGAGGTGAGTGCTGACCACTAGGGAGGCGGGGGTCAGGTGAGTAAACCTACTTTATTCCAGCCTCTTGACAAAAACAAGCACTTACTACTTGCAGTGCTAGAGTAGCTCCACTGCAAGGGTACTTTTTGGTTTGCCCAGAGATGGGCTTTAAATTATATATTGTTTCCTAAATGTACTTATAACTGTAAACAGAATTTTAAATAGAAATTTTATAGAAATTCCTGAAGAGATCAGTCACAGCAACTTATACTGTATATTAGGCATTTGAAGTTTGAAATTGAATTACACTCCATCTAAAGACCTAGAAAATTACACTAATTTCAAGGAGCACCAAATGAAAAGGTATTTCAGTGTTTTATCTGTTCTTTGTAAGGCAGCTCCACTGTCAGTAATACAGTTGCCCCCCCACCACGAGCCTGAAGATGTGAGAACAGTGATCTTGCTGCAGTGGTCTGACATGTCCCCTGCTGAATTAGACCAATAGCTATACAATCAGCAGCGTTATACTTTAAAGAGTAACTCCACTTTTGTTGAGAAAATAAAAAATTATTGGTGATCTGTGTACATTGTAAGTAGGGATGCACTGATACTTTTCAGATACCAGTGCCGATATTTCGCATTTACATGAGAACTATCAGGGTTGCAGCGGTTGCAGCTGGGACCTGGCTCTGGCACTCCACTACTGTCCTGAAATCATTAGTCTGTATTGTTTTAGAAAAACTGTCACATGACAATAAACAAAAATGTATCAGTACTCGTACTTGCAAAAATGGTATAGGTACATCCCTTTATTTATATTTATAAAAACAAAATCATACATTAAAACATAGATGTACAAATCCCAGGAGCTCCGTGTGCTCCTTACAAATGACAGCTGCCTCCTAACTTTTGAATGTTTCTCTAGTCTAGTCCTGGAGCTGGAAAAGTATCTGTACTTGTACCGAGTACTGTATTTGGTATCGGTGCATCCCTAATTGTAAGGATTTTAACCAACTTTGTTTTTAAGATTCATACCTGTTTCTGCTCTATAGAAAAAGCTATTTGTTGCAGTATCTCCTTTCTAAACTGATTTCAGAATGGGAGGGTCTGGGTTCACCATAATCAGCTGGTGGCCTGTGTTGTGATGAGGAAATGTGCAGTGTCTGCATCCCTTTAGTAGTAATTATCCCTTAGGGAGCATCTCACCAAAATGAATTTCCTATTGCCTGAAATTGTACTTGTATCTTAGTGCAGACTTCTGGGAAAATCTCTCAACCAATCACAACAGCAGGAAATTGCATTTCTGGGGGGTGTTCTGTACAGAAATACAGTGGCTGACGTTTTTAATGGAAATTTAACTTTTATTAGCATTATTTTTGCTTGTGTAGCAATTATATATGCTATATTCTATTTGTATTATTTCAAAGTGGAGTTTCCCTTTAAATATAAATTATATGGCTGTGAAGGTATGCAGCATTTTTAACTTAGTTTCCCACCATTATCTTCCTTTCAGAACAGTGTTTAGCTGGTAAATGTGTCTAAATCATAAAATGGAACTCTTTTTTTTCTTAAAATTTGTCAAGTTTTTATTTCTGTCCCACTGGAGAAATATACATTGAACTTACTGTGTGGTCACAACAGGAAATATTATATTGTTAAAAATATTCAAAGCTAAACTCCAGGCTCTTTTTTTTAAATGCCCATTGCCCCATTTACAATAGAAGTGTACATTTACTTTTCTAAATCCAAGCTGCAGTATGCAGTAACAGCATATTTTATTACCTGTGACAAAAATACTTGTTATGGCCGCAAGCTAGAAGGAAGGAGTAGTGAGGCACTGTACATCACTCCTGAGTGTTTCACTGAACCTCATGTCCTATGATTCCTGGCGTCCTCCTGTCATGTTGGTGGGCAGTTCTGTTGGTGGTGACACAAAGCTCTATATTTTTCATCATCGGCCATAGTGAAGCTCAAGGCTTTAAAAAGCAGCATTCTCCTACTTCCACAATTAAGTATTTTACAGTATATCTATGCTGCAGATCACTTGAGGGTGGTGGAGCAATTGTGAGAGATCTTCACAAAATGTACACCCACTGAAAAGTGGAATGATGTAAGAAGATTTATAAATGCCATTGCATTACAAAATATTTGCACAATAAAGCAATTTAGTAGCATTTGGCCAACATTTTCAAGCTGGCCTGCTCTAGGTCCATTTTCATAAATGCGTAACTCTCATAAAAAAAAGACTACCTTTTCCTTCTGATTTTCAGCAAGCTGTTTTCTACATCCAGTAGTGCAACCATTCTGCTCATCAGTTTTGGCATAGGCTTCAACACAGGCTGCAAAAGAAAAATAAGAGCAATTTTAAAATGTTAACTGTGAACTAAATTGCTATGGATGATGACAATAATTGGCTTTCATTATCTGTACGAATGCAACAGTGCTCGAATCCTGAAGCCCAGCAATAAGCTATTGAAGTGCGGTCTGCACTTCAATAGCTTATTTTAAGTGTAAGGGTGACGCTAGGGGTCTTTTGGACCCCCAGCATCACCTTAAAGAATACCTGTCACTGCCAATATGCTATCACATGGGGGGCTTGCAAGCCCTCCCTATGTGATAGCAATTAAAGTAAAGTAAAAAAAATAAACAGTTTTAAAAATAATATTAAACAAATTAAATGTAAAAATAATAATACAAAAATTGAAAGTCCCCGCCCCAGCGAGCATGCGCGTTGTCACATAAAAACACGCTTCGGGTGTGCCTACGTACGAAAACGACAATTGCGCTGCACATGTTGGGTATCGACGCGCATACCAGAGTGAGAGCAATAATTCTAGGGCCAATATTTACACATATCGCTACATTGATGACCTGTAGGCGCTTTTAAAGCATCGTCTACTTGTTGTAACCTAATATTTTATTTTTTACAAAAAAAATGGTTTTATATAGTGTTTTGGGACACTAAATTTAACTTAAGTGCTTTTTTCACTAAATTTTTAGGTTTGATAATAAGTTGCACTACTGTCATGCAACATAAACATTTGCAACTGCCACCATTTTATTCTACAGGGTCTTGGCTTTCAGAAAATATATAATATTTGGGGGTTTTAAGTAATTTTCAGGCCTAAAATGTGGATTAACATGGGTGCAAAAAATTGAGAAAAAAAAAAGCCTTGGTCCTTAAGGGGTTAAGAATTAGGAGACTGAAGATGATCCAGAAATGCAGAACTGGCCAGCATTAGTATATTTTTAATGAAGAAGAACTGGTCAAAATGTACCAGAGACGAGTACAGACAGATGCATACTGTTTTATAACAGATTTAAGGTTATATAAAAGTCAAAAGGGTTTTCAGCTATTTCAAATACTGATGAAATGACTTACAATGGATGCTGCTCCTTGATGTTTAAAAGTTTTAGTTTCCTGCAGAATCAGCTGGTGCCCTGAGCATTGGCCCTGATTTCCTGTTATAGGGTGGGTCCTTTCCCTTGCGGGGTCCTATGAAGCCCCCCTTGTGTGTGCTAGTAGGTTGGGTGTGTGTTCGCAAACACACAGGCACAGCAAGGCCAATCACTCTCCTGCTCTCTGTTTTCCTCTCCCACCTCCTTTCTGCAAGCTAGTAGATGGAGAGCTGCTGGAGGCTGTGCAGTCCTATGTAATTTTGTACTTAACAGGAAGTTCAAGGAAGCTGAACTAAGAGAGTTGGAACTGTTTGGAAACCTGATGACTGTAAGTTGTTGATGCAAAAATTAAAATAGTTTGCTTTGCAATGTATAATTGATTGATCCAGATTTATTATTGAAAAAAATATGAGCCTTTAATACTACTTTATGAGAATACAGCAGTACAAAATTAGCTAGCAGCAGGGACATTTTATTAACCTCCCTGGCGGTATTCCCGAGTCTGGCTCGGGGTGAATTTTCAATGCTAGGAGCGGTAACCCCGAGCCAGACTCGGGGCTGCAGAGAAAACTGACACTCACCTTGTCCCTGCGATCCCGCGGCGTCCTCTGCTGTACGCGGCTCGAAAATGAAACTAAAAGCCGGCATCTGACTTTTAGTTTCGTTTTCGAGCGTCAAAGCTTAAATGTACTAGGGAAAAATAGCACAGACACAGGTAAACTGCAAGAATTAAGACACTTCAGAGGATACAGCAGTGTAAAATTGTCCAATACTGGGACAGTTTTAATCACGGATTTCAGTGGAGATAGGGCATTATCATGGACAAATCTGCATAGGTTGAATTCACAGATAGGTTCAACAATTCTGTACAAGGGCCAAAGAAACATGACGTAACATGCCACACACAGCATAGTTTGTGTGCCTACAATTTCTTGTAGATCACATTGTCTAAACCAAACCCCCATTTATCTTTGGAGTTATCCAAAAAAATTAAAAAGCTAGATTTCTCAGATTCCGTAGAAGTAAGAAGACACACACACACACACACAGCGCATACACAATAATGCTACAAATTCTGTTAGACCTCATTGGCTAAACTACATCCCTATTTATCTTTGGAGCCTACAAAAAAAGTAACGTTTACATTTATACCATTACCATGTAAGGATTATGGTACACACTGTATAACTGTAATTTTAAATAAAATTCTGTGATGCCTCATGTGCCAAAACACTTATTGCATGCAGTTTGTAAGGACAAAGACAAATGTTTCTTTTTCACCATAAAAATGGAGGAATATACAATATTGCAACAATATCTTTTAGGTCACATTTTGAAAATGACAGACCGCATTTAGTTTTCCAGCCCAAAACTCCTCATTTAATGTTTATAACTTACACGAAAAAGAAAGAAATTATTCAAATAGACAGTATTTAAGCACCTTTGGTAGTATGCATTTTTAACAGGAGGGAAATCAGTTTTTTTTTCCCAAACAAAAATCTAGTTGAGTATGATTATTTCCAAAAAATTACAGCAAAAAAAACTGTACTGACTCCCAATACATTAATTATAACATTTTAATTGTCTGTATTTTTAACAGGAAAGACAACAGGCAAGTATAACGATCTACCTATTTAAAAATGTTTTATTATTATATTTAGTCGTTGATTACCTGACTCGCATTCACTTCTTGTAGTGTTAAGATCAGCAGTGACATCCACAAAGTGACAGATGGAAAAAAGTCTGCATCCTCTGTAGCAGGCACCAAGGACATCATCCTGTGGGAGGACACAGGCAGCATGAGTAGTTTGTTCTCTTATTTATTTTTCTGTTCACTCAATTTCAAGTCTGATTAGATCTAAATGTGAAAATACATTTGACGTTATGTCTGTTTAGCATAAAACATTAACTATGGAGAAATCACAATTTGCTATTGAACCACAAATGTTAAAATTAATTTATTAGTTAGGGAGCATAAAGGAGTAATGTCACCCAAAGGTGAAACTGTTAACATACACTGTCAGCTACATGTCCTACATAAAGAGTAAACATAGTATCAATGCAAGAGCAGAACCTGCTTTGTGGCCTGTCTGCCCTGGCTCCTTGACCAATGGTCCTGGATAAATTTGCATATGAATATTTTGTGCTCTGGCTTCCATCTTGTGTAGATTTTTTGAATTTTAGAGTCGTATTACAAAGAGTTTTGTACACACACAAAAACTGTAAATGCAAGTATCAAGACAAGAGAACCAAAGCAGGATAACAAATTCCAAGGTATCATAGTCAAAACAAGCAGTTTTGCACCTATTGCATAAAGCAATAACAGGCAAAAGCGAGGTAGAGCGCATGTGCTGTCACAATAATTGCATAAAAAATATGACACAGTGCATAGCCAAAGTTATTATTGCTATTAATGTGAAATGAGAATCACATAGGGGTCTATTTACTAAGCTGCCGAAAGATCTAGCCATAGCTTCGGTTGATCCTTCGGCTAGCTTCGGCCCCAGGACCCCTCCGGTTCAGTAGAACCGAAGAGCTGCTGTACGGGCTATTCACTATAGCCCGTACAGCTCCCGAAGTCGGCCGAGCGGCTCGGTTGAGCCTAAGGCATATGCTTTGGCTAGACTGAGCCGGGGTGAAAGCCAAAGCTGGCCGAATGGCCGGCCGACAGTGTAACGACTTTGCAATGCACGCTTAGGATCGCAACTGCGGAGATGCGTACCTCACGGTTTAGTCAGTGGGCGGTCTCGAATATACTCTCTCTCAGCAACTTAGAGATGTGTATGAGACCGGTAACATCATTTAACCGTGGTGAAAAACAGGTGGAAGACAGGATTACTAACAGTCTGGTAAAGTATAACTCAACTTTAGGAGGAGGCCCTCAGTAACATGTATAGGAACAGCGAGGTACGTGGGTAAGTATCGATACCTCTATAGGTTTGAAAAGAGCAACTTCCTAATTCCTTGAACATGCACACACAGACTTTGATATAGTAAAGTTCCTGTTAAGTGAAATCAATATAAGGATGTCCCAGGTGTGGGAAACGTTTATCACAAATAATAAGGATAACCGGGATTGACCCGCATTTAGTTTAGGAATAGTCCATGACCAACTAAGTAACAGGTTAATAGATAGCCCCCCAGGTACTTGCGGTTGTGGCGTTCTCAGCCAGGTAGTTTCCCAGAAGATGGTAGTAGTGAAGTACCGCCTGTGAGTCTCTTTCCCAATGTACTTGATGATCCGGTTTTGCTGGGTTGTCAAGTGGCTCCCCTGTTCGGCCACATTGGCTCCAATACAAGGTGGCAGTAATAGGGAGGAAGCCTGGTCCCTTGTGTGGTCAGCTGCTGCAAAGAGTGAATCTTCAGCGCTCACTGTCGCAAACAGTAGGACGCCGAAGATTCGGTTGGCCGCGGCTTAAGGAGTCTCTTGCGCGTGCGCCTGGTGGAGGAGCTACGATCCGTCGTGCGCCGGAGAGGCCCGTTTGCGGACCCGGATCGCGGACCCGGAATGATACGAGGTATGTTTCTTACAGACAGCCTGCTACTGACTGCTTGGCGGAGCCAGCCGTCATCTCACGGCTGGCTCTGGCCACTTGCACAGACAGATCAGCGTCCCTGGTTACCAGGGACACTGATCTCCAGACAGCCCAGCTCTCCCGGACGCTCCGGGAGTCTCCCGCTATTAGATAGTGGCTCCCGGCCGCCTGGGAGAGAAACACTTTCTCCCATCGTTAGCTGCCTTCAGAATAAAAAAAAAAAAGGGAAAAATATCACCATAGAAATGCATAGCTAGATTCCTATTGGCTATTTCAATTTGCAATAGCCAATAGCAAACTAGCTATTGTACCCGCCCACTGCTGCTGTCAATCAGCAGGGGGGACCTGAAGTTCTCCATCAGGTCCGCTCTAGTGATTGACAGCAGCAGAGGGTGGGTGCAATAGGTAGTTTGCTATTGGCTATTGCAAATTGAAATAGCCAATAGGAATCTAGCTATACATTCCTATGGTGATTTTTTTTTTTTATTCTGATGGCAGCAGAACAGCCTGGTCAATAGAAAACAGCTGGGCGGAGCTAGCCGTCACTGCTAACTCCGCCCAATCGTTTTCTATTTTATTTTATACTACTTTTTAAACTGTTTTTCTATTCTGCTCGGTACCACAGATGTACCGAGCAGAATAGCCGAGCCGAATGCCGCTCTTCGGCATTCTGCTATTCACTCAATGCTGTTTGGCATCTATGAGAATAGGCCGAACAGCAGCGAGTAGCCTGCCGGAGGTGCGGCTTAGCCGATCCATATGTTGGATCGGCTGAGTTGAACTCCTTCTGCACTTCGGGTCAGCCGAACATGCTGAGCATGTTCGGCCGACCCGAAGCCAGGCAATGTATGGCTGATTTCAGCCGGTATACGGCTGAAATCAGCAGTACAAGCGTGAAGTGAATAGTAACAGTGTTCGGCTCACTTCACTTCGGGTCGTCTATTCACTCGGCTGCATACGGCAGTTTAGTGAATAGCACCGATAGTTGAATTTTCCTTAAGCCATGTATTATAGCTGGTTGTATAGCTGGTTATTATACTGCCATCTTGTGGGCATTTTAGTTATTGCATCATGTTTTTCTGCAGTTCCTCCCCTTGTGTGTAATGTACCGCCCTTCTTCATGAGTTGTAGTTTCTGGCATCAAAATGGCTCACTGTATCATGGCCACATATTAATCTGCTTGCATGCTTGGAAACATTACCATCTCTGACCTTCAAATACTGTCTATTCATTCATCTGCTGTAGCCTGTTGTCTGATGTAGCTGGGGGTCCCTAGGTGACATTAGGGGTCTTGGTCTTCATAAAGAGGACCTGTCATGTAAATTGGCTATCACATGGGGTCTTCTTATCCCGCATGTGATAGCAATAAAGTTGTGTAAAAAAAAAAGTAATACAAAAATGAAAGAATCATAAAAAAAATTAAGCTTTAAAAAATAATTATTTTTTAAAGTCCTCCGCCCCCACATACACATGCAGATATGCGTCAAGGTGCGCCTATGTGCGAAAACGATTGCGCCTATTGTGCCACACATGTTACATATAACCGCAAACGTCGGGGTTTGAGCAATCATTTCAGGGCCATTAAAGGAGAACTATGAGATGAGTGCTTTTCACTCACCTCATAGTTCTAGCCGACCTGTGACAATGAGACTGTCACAGGTCGGCTCAGTAGATCGGGAGGTGAGCGAACATATACCGGCGTTTGCTCACCTCTCGATCCTGTCACGGCTCTCTGCCGTGACAGGGGAGGGGATGGATTCCCCCCTCCCCGCTCCGATCCGCCAGCGCTGACTGGCGGAACGGACGGTACAGCTGGCTCTGCCTCTAGATAGACAGAGCCAGCTGTCACTCACGCAGCTGGGCGGATCCGCTCCGGCTGCGGCGTCTCAGTATACCGCGAGCTGTAGCTCGCGGTATACTGAGCTTAGGGTAACGGGAGGATGCTAGTTTGTGTCCTCCCGTTACCCTAAGGAGAACTATGGGGAAAAGCCCAGACCCCATAGTTCTCCTTTAATTACTGATAACACTAAACTGTTGAGCGGTAAAAGCGTTTTAAGTGTCGCCTATGGCCAATCTTCAGTGTGTTCGTTTTTTTGCGATTTTGCGGGCGCACGCAATTTTAAGGCTTGACGTGTTTGGTGTCTATTTACCCGACGTGACCCCGTCTTTTATGTTTTACCAAAAATATGGGTAAGAATAGATGTTTTATAACATAACTTAGGGAAACTTTTTTTTTATTTTTTATTTACTTTACTTTTTTCATTATATAGTAACAAATAAGTGCCCCCCCACGTGGTAATTTTATATACCACCAAAAGAAAGCTCTATCTGTCCCCAAAAAATTGATAACAGGAGAATGTAATTGTTTGACAACAAATGATCAGACCCTCAGATAAGTCACCAGACATACGCATCAACAATTTTATCCACATCGCGTGATTTCCCTACTCTTGCTCATGATACAGTAATCAGTAGTGTCCATAGTCATCACTCCCTTATCAACAGAGATAAATAGAATAGCTGATGAAACTCCAACTTACCGCATTGTCTAGTAAGGCTAATATCCTGTGGTCCGTTGATATGATTTTTAGTGCTCTATAAACGGGAAGATTGTTGTGTGATACTACTGTTAATGCTTTTGTTGTGTGACAATGTCTGCACGTGTATGGCAGACTTTTGCTTTAGCAGGAAGAAAATAGGTCATACCTTTTAAAATTAAATAAACCCAATTGTTTGCCAGCTATTAAAATACAAAGGTTTGCTGCAAAATGGAAACAAAATGCATGATTGCACAAGCAAAGTGGGCCTATTTACTGTACATACAGCATGCTCAGCAATTAAATCAGTAAGGTGCAGTATGTAAAAAGAGAATGTCTGCATTGTCAAGCATTTTAAAAAGCCATTACCATTTTTGTTATCTATTATGCATTTATCTCAGCAGGCTTTAAGCAGATAGTAGAATGTTCAAGACATATCTCCTGCTGTCTACACTCTTTGCTGCACTTGACCAGACAGCAGGGAATTTGCTTTTGCCTCTGCAGTGCATAAAAAAAAGATGTCTGATATTATAACATAATTAATAATTCTAAGTTGAGAAATATAATGCCCAATGAAAACTAAAAGCTCTTATTGCTATGTGTATAATATAAAATAATCACTTGTATATGTAGAAGAGTCTGGTAAAATGTGTGCAAATATTTGGAAAGTAGTGATTCTATTTCCTTGCATTCAGAGGTAAACTG